TTTTCTGGGTTTCTATGACTTGGGCACACCTTTTATTTCCGATGATGAAAGGATATGTATGGATTTTAGTGGCCTCAGAATGCCACTAAACATCTGGAGGCTGCAATATTGCCAGCTGGCAGATGTTGAAGAACACAACATTCCCAGAGTCCCCAAGACTCTTTTTCCAAGAACAACATCTAAAGCCTTCCATTGCTACTTCTCTTAATAATGATTCTATCATTGGAAGAAGATTATTGTCTCGGGAAGCAGAAATAAATGAAGAGATTTGACAAGAAGAAATAGTAGCTAATTTGGGGAAAGGTTTATGCATTTGAGCTGGCTAAGTGCCTACTTTCCATATGGTTGCTGAAAACAACAGGCTAATAAAATCTTACTGTCCTCCTACCTTGACTCATTTCCATTGCTTTTGGGTTACTCCAGGGAATATAGGAAACAGTGGTTCCTAAAGGATGCTGGTCCCTGCAACATTGACTTCCAAATTTGTTTAGGCACAGCATTGAAGAGCATCCCAAAAGAATGTGATTTATTCCCCCTTAAATGCCTTCTCAAACCACTGGCTAAGAACCAGGATCCAATTTTATTTCCCTTCCTGAGCATTATCACTCCCTGAAGTGATATTTGTGATATTACTTATTTGTATGTTTATTACTTTTCTCTCTCTAGTAGAATTCAAGCTATATGCAAGCATGTACCTGGCCTATCTTGCTCACCACTATATTCCTAGTGCCTCGGACAGTTGCCTGTAAAGCCCTATCTGGTGCACCTTAGCAGATGATGAAATAAAATGGCCTTGGAATAAAACATTCTAGGTTGGCTTTATCCAATTGGAAAAATATGCTGATGCTTGGGCATCAGAAAGATAGGCAGAAAAAAAAGCAGAAGAAGGAGTAAGGTTCAGCTTCAGTGACTTTAGCCAGAGTTTTGCAATCCAGAAAAACTAAGAAAGAGACCTTTTTATTCGAGAGTACATGCAAACTTTGAGTTTTTGTTTAAATTAACAACAACAAAAAATTATTTTTAATATTAGAGGTAGGTAACTGAAACATTTCTTTTAGAACTGGGGCCTCTGCAGGTTTTCATCCTGCTCTGCTTGGAGCATAGTCATTGCTCCAGAAATGTGTGTTGAAAGCTGCGAGCTTTGGCTGAGTCAGAGCCTGAAAAGGCAACTGCATATGTTCATGGGCATACATGCCTACCACCACCAGCATTTCTTAGACCAAAGCAAGCTGGGGCATTTTGCCCCTTATTTCCTATAAGTCAGAGAATTTTTACTCTCATTTGATTTTCTTTTCTTTTCAATTTTATTTTTTTGATATGTTGATTGGTGATCCCTGACTCAAACTAACCATAACTGATTACTATAGGCATTTTTGAAATGACTCTAATACTTCATATAAAAAAGAAGGATGAAGGAAAGGAGGAGACTACTGTCTAGTGGAGTGCTGGCTGGTGCCAGGTCCTGTGCTGGGTGTTTATGTGTGTTCTTCATGTAATTGTCCAGCTACTCTCAAAGGAGCATCTCGCCTTTTTATAGCATTTGTAAGCCAATGGTCAAAGAGTAAATGGAGGATTTGCGATCTGAACCTTTAGATCAAGTACAGACCCTGGCACCCTGGCACATATCAGGAACCTCATAAACATTAGTGGAACATACACAGTGGATGATTGAACCTGAAGCAAGATGGTCTTTGAGGTTCTCTTGCTGGCATTTCCCTGAGAAAAATTCCAGAGTGTATTTAAACTAATGACCTATTTAGCCTTTTTCTCATGTTCCATAGTCACTCTCTAGTGACTATGTTTGTACACAGGAAGACATATCCATTTCTCTCCCTCATAAATTGCACAATTGCAAGGGCCTGAGTGTTTTAGGACTCATAATTTCCCTCCTGGAACAAATAAACAGACATTTGCCTCCTTGACTTTTCCTCTTGCTTCCCTGATTATACTTACACAGGGATAAAGCCAACCTAGAATGTTTTATTCCAAGGCCATTTTATTTCATCATCTGCTAAGGTGCACCAGATAGGGCTTCACATGCAATATTCAGAGTGGTGAAAAGCAAATAAATGGTGTTTGCCGCAGAACAAACGTGAAATCGCAGCTCTGTTATTTCCTAGTGGTCTGACTTTGGCATGTCACCTAACCTCAGTGAGATTGTTTCTTCATCAATAAAAGCAGATAATGATTCTTTCCTCCCAGGACTATTTCGATGGCTAAGAAAGACCATACACATAAAATGAATATCTAATTCATTTTTCTTCTTTCTTTGGGCTCAATAAATGCTTGGGGTATGTGCTGTTGGTTCTGTAGAGCTTCTCTTTGGCTTTATCATTTCAGTGACAAACAGAAGCCACTTTTGTGTTTCTTTATGGCCAACAGATTTGGATCATTTAAGAGTTCTGGAAGGCTTCCTCCTTCTCCCAACAGGAGAGGCTTCCTCAGTCCACAGTTTGCTTCTGGACTTCTGCCTTTTCAGAATGCAAAGGGGTTGAGGGAATGGCATGTACACCCCACCCCACACATTTCACAACCCAAGCTAGTTGCTGCTGCCAGCTGCTGGGCCTCATTAAAGAGACCAGGCTGGAAGAAAAACTCTTGGCAGCCACTGTACTGCTGCAGCCAGGCAGTGTGTGGTCTGTTGAGGACTGTAAGGAACACTGGGTATTGAGCGATGTGTGTGTTTACTTTAAAAGGCGAATGAATGGATCCTGGAATTCCCAGCGGATGTTTGAGATTCACACTCACGGCTCCGCTTGCCCTCCTTTCTTTGCACTTAT